GTGTTATCAAAGCCTTGGTTTGAGTGAATTAGAGGAACACTCGTATGAATCCGGTCTCAAACTTAGGAAAATGATTTGCAAATGGTTATCAAAATGTAGATTTCATGATCAACCAGATCCAGTAAGTTGACCACAAAAATACCATAATGTTATTTGACAATATGATATGTTAGAGCAACATCCTAGTGATAGGCTAGGGATCTTTAAGAATTGCATGATAGAATTAATTGATCTTTGATGCCTTATCTTGTGCAGAGTACCTCATTGATAGTTGTGTGACTCTTTTGTGTGTGAATTAGTTATTGGATGAATGCATTAAGTCACATACTTCATGGGTTAAATGGTTCTAGGTTAAAGGATTTGGTCCTACTGCGCAGCTCTTGTCTGAGTCCAACCATTGTTGGATTGAATCTTTTAGCCTAGGGTTGTTTAAGTCATGGGGTATGTGATATTTTTCATGCAATAACTATCTGGAACCAATGGAGGATCGTGTGGTAGTTGGTGGTAGGATGGATGATGTGTGCAGGGTTAGTTGGCCAGTTATGAGATATTTAGCCTTTCTTTAGGAGTGAGGATTGAACGCTCGCCCATTCTTATGTATTGTTAGGGCCCTGTAATGGTACTTGAGACAAATATGGGTAGGTGTGGAAGGTAGTATGGGCACGTAGTACTGAAAAAACAGGACTCATACGCGTAGCAAGGAAGTCACAACCCTAGGATTTTGTTGGGAAATTCACTTTCTTGTTATGATATGCATTTATCTAATATCTCACTGGTTTATGTTCAGTATGGTGATGGCGAGACGATTTGAGGCGGGATCTGGATCAGGATCGGGAGCTAGTGGCCAGTATAGTCCGGTATTGTCCGTTGATCAAATGCGGGAGATGATTTCCACGGAGGTATCTCAGATTTTTCAAGAAGAATTGTCAGGTGTAGTGAACCGGGTCACCGCCAGGGTGATCTCCAAACTTGAGGAGAAAATTACAGCCTGGAACTGTGATAGATGTCACTCCTGGGATGACTACTGGGGGAATACCAGTTGTGGGGTCACAACTAGGAAAGAAGAAGAGGTACCTTTTAGCAGAGGATGAAGACTCAGAGGCTACTAACCTGGGTACTGGAAGTCAGGAGGATCAAGAGGTCTATGGCAAGTGTGGGGGAACCCACAGATTTGCTTGTCTCAAGTTCAGGTGTTTCAAGTGCAGGGAGAGAAAGAGGACATGTGTAACAGGATTGCAAGAAGGATTAGATATACTTTCACTATCACTAGCCAGGTTATTTCAGGTCCAACTATCCTACTTTGGGGACGGAAGGAATTCGGATTCCAACAGTCATCGTTCCTCAGGAGGTCAAAGTCGAGCCACAAGAAATCTCTGGTTTGTAACTGGAAACCCCATTCTATAATAATATTATCATCAAATTGTCCTTGATCGGTGTTTGTCTTGCCTTGAGATCTTGTTGAGTGTGGATAGGCAGTAAATTCGGGTTAGTTACCAGTTTAGTTTGATCAATGTGTTGTGGAACTTCATGTGTCGTTCATCATTGGAAGTGTCAGGACAGTTGTATTATCAAAGGGTTGTAGGTAGTTAGAGTTCATGGATTCATCAAAGGATGGGAAGTAGAATGGTTGATTGACGGATCGGAATTTTATCGCCTATGGCAAGGGTTGTACCCTTTCAGTTCTTCCGAGTTCACAGGATTGAGCAGGCTTGTGACTCGAGGGTTAGGTTATATTTCCAGCTCGGGGTCTGTGTTGGATAAGGTGTCTAAGTCCATAACTATTTCTAGTATGTACTTGACCCGGTTTGGCATGGTCTATTTGGGTTACATGGCATCATGCATTTAGATAGACTAAAATGAGAGAAATAACACTTATGTTTCGGAGACAACTGCTTGATAGGAGAAGGAATTGGATGCGAATGGTTTACTCGGTGATAAGAAGGGGCTCTAATGGGAAGAAAATGAACAGAAGTAGCAGCTCAAGTGGGCGTTTTTGGTTGTGGTCCTCAATAGAAGGAAGAAGAGGAGGGTGCGACAGGGGCTGCTCTAGCAGCCTCCTTGATGCATTTTTATTTTTTTTTGAACATGAACTTTTGAAGAGAAAGGGGGTCTTTGGGTTTGATTTGTGACAGGAAACAAGGATGAGAACGGGATGTGAGGAGGCTGTTACCTCGTTCTCACCGGAAAAGCACTCACCTCGGTGGTGTTCTTGGCAGAAAATCAAAGAAGAAAGAAGAACATCAACAAAAACCTTCAGGGGGTGTTTGGCTTCAGCTGGAAATGGTGGTGATCAGGAGGTGTTTGAGTGTTGGTCTTCTTCCCAAGAGTTCGATAAAAAGGATGATACTTGAACAATGTTTAAGGAAACTTGTAGGCTTTCTTTTAGTTAAATGAACATTTCATGTAATTGTACAATAATTGATTTGTAAATAGTGAAAGTCTCAATTTGTTTGGTTGTAAATTGAAACAAAAAGAGTTATGTGTAATGTTGGGTAAGTTCAAATGTGGAAGAGACTAATAGTTGTCAATATGTTTTCTTCTGCCCATAATTGTGTATTGTTTTATCATTGATTCAATTGGTATGTATTTGGTTGAATTTCTTTTATTAAGATTTTTGGACAACCATTATATCTACATAAAATGCATATAGACTCATACTATTATTTTGTTATGTGAGTAGGTGATTTATTTAGAGAAATCAAGTATTGTACGTAATGGAAATCAAAATTAATATATATGCTAGGTTTTTGTCTTTAAAAGTCATATACAACATATAAATTTAGATGTGTACATTTTAATGTTGTCGCACATGTCATATTAAAATGTCATTTTTTTAGCATTCTCGATTTGTGTACTACTGATCCGTAAATGAAATATTTTTTCCTAGGCAACAGAATAATATTCTCCGGTTCAACAATTTACAAAACATGAACAGATTAATTTTTCAAGTTGTAAACTCTGGGAAATTATGTTTAAAGTTTTGCTTCTAAATGGCCTGAAACGTTTGATTTTTCGACTTTTGCAAATATTTTTGCTAAAAATATTTCAAGTATAAAATTAAATATTAGACTAGAGCATAAGTCCAAAAACGCTCTCATAATTTTCGTCTGAGGTGGGGAAGTGCCTCAACGGATCGATTCAGTTTTAGCAGTTTAAGAAAATCAGTATTATATTGGTTTGGTTTCCTTATAATGGTCGTATGTTTTGCATACGATGTCCGTTTTGAACAATCTTTATATTTTCAGAAACAGAGGAGCATATACTACGACACTAGAATGTTTACATCGCTCACAACTGCTTAATACGAATTTTCAATTTTTCAGACGCATTAACTAGGGTTGCAGATTGAACTGTTTGACTCATTTGAGATTTTCCACATTTGGAAGTAAGGTGCCACATTTTATCTTATAATACATGTAATGACACTACATATTTTTCAAAATGTGCTTTTAAACTCAACATGTCAAATTACAAAAAGATTTGCAGGGAACTGATTGTTTGCAATTTTAAACATAAATTCTGGGATACTACAATAAGCATCAAGTTGGTATACACTATCACCACACGAATGACATCTACAAAACGAAACACAAAGTAATTCATAAATGCGATAACAAACAACAGATGTATAAGGCCAACTTTTTTTTTTTTTTTTTTTTTTTTTTTTTTTTTTTTTTTTTTGATAGGAAAGCCTACTTACCAATTGCACATTCCTCCTTAGCATTACCTGAAATAATGTCTCCAAATTTGGAAAAACAAAAGGAGCTACAAGCTTCAAACTTGCAATGGAAAACCTTCTTGAAGGTAGCTGAGATACGATTCCCTGAAATTTTCAAAAGATAAAAAATAAATAATTAAATTAAAAAATATATATATGAAGCTTAAAAAACTATACCAAATAAACAAAACAGATATAACTTATCTATGACAAATCGATACCTTCTCGTCTATTAATAACATATCAATACTATTATTCAATGCAAATGGCTTCAAGTAAACATGTTCCCTTAAGCGAACAAGACATGTCTTAAGGAGTGGAACAACAAACATCAGCATCAACTCTTGAGGAGTTGAACAGTCCAGTCGGTTATAATACAGTTTCCATGCACAATAAATTGAGGGACATATGAACAACCCAAAACGTCCATCGAACAGCTTAGTCAAGTGACATAGCAGAAAATGAACCCTTACAAGAAAGTATTTTTTGCAAATAGTGCCACATTCGACATGCCACGTGGCCGTGAAATACATAGCTTACTACAACTTAGCAAAAATCTGCTTAAATTATATAGGATGTAGATGTCATTGATGTGGGTTTGGGATAGATTGTTGTACGAACTTGAGAAGGTAGAGTGAGCAAATGTCAAAAGTCCAGCCATATCATTTATTAAATATTTTCTTCTCTGCATCCGGTTATCATGCAAGATTAATTAATTCTTAAGCTTTTGATAAGTGTCGTTTTCTCATTGTTACAAATTTGCTCCAAAGATAAGTCGGGCTTATATACATGGGTAAAACTCTCTTAACGAATCTGATTCCCACTCAAATTTTTTTTATATCATGCAAACAAACGAAAACATATGAAGTAATGGAATTTAATTTTTATAAAATCAAATTTTCTCTTACGACATTGTCAAATTTGGTAGGCTCGAAAGATTAGAATCGTTTTCTTTAGCTTTTATGGAATCAAAATTTCTTTTACGACATAGTCAAGTTAGTTAGACTCCAAAAGATAAGAATTGCTTTCTTTAGTTTTTATGGAATCGACATTTCTTTCACGACACGTCAAATTTGGTAGGCTCCAAATTAAGATTAGAATTGTCTTCTTTAGCCATTGTTATCCCATGGGAGCGAACGTTAAATGACAAGAAAAAATATATATTTCCACTCTCTCCTACCTCCTTCCATCCTCGCTACAGTGACACTCTCTACCTTCTAACCTCTTCTAGACAAAACGAACATCCACTATTGATCACCATCGCCTCTCTAAAACTAAAACGATGTCTTCTTCACAAGTAAACCTCAAAAATTATCTAATTCCACTTGAGGAGATCAAACGAGCCACCGAAAACTTCAGTCAGCAAAGATGCATCGGAGGTGGTGGCTTCGGTCTAGTCTACAAAGGACAACTTTCCGAACGATGGCAAAACTGCATAGTTGCTATCAAACGACTAAGTCCAGACAGTTATCAAGGAGAGCACGAGTTCCGAAATGAAGTTGCGATGATTTCCATGTTCCACCACGAAAATATCATCTCCTTTATTGGTTACTGTGATGAAGAACACGAGATGATTATAGTATATAAGTATGCAGTCCATGGAAGCTTGGATCGACATCTCGAAGACCCAAACAAGATGCGTCTCATAACATGGACGCAACGCCTGATGATATGTCGTGGAGCAGCTAGAGGACTCGATTACCTTCACTCAGGTCTTGGAGAACACAAGAGGGTGATACATAGAGATGTGAAGAGTGCTAACGTATTGTTAGATGATAATTTTGTTGCAAAGGTTTGTGATTTTGGGTTGTCGAAGTTTAGTCCTAGAAATCTACCAAATACCGAGGTGTTTACAAAAGTTGCGGGTACCCAGTTTTACGTGGATCCCACTTACAATGAAAGTCGGATCCTGAGAAAAGAATCGGATGTATACTCGTTTGGAGTTGTAATGTTTGAAATGTTGAGTGGGATGCTTGTTTATAGTGAAAGGAGTGTTGAAGATGATAGGACGGAGTTTTTAATGAATTTGGTACGTCGATATGATCATAACGTAGTAGATAAGTTGATTGATCCCCATATGAGAGATCAAATTGATAGTCATTCTTTAGACACGTTTAAGGAAATTGCATATCAATGCATTAGTTTGAATTTGACAAAACGCCCTACGATGGATAAGGTCGCTGAGAGGATTCAGGAAGCATTGAGTATTCAAGTAAGTCTTTTTCACTTGATTATTCTGAAGGAAATTTCGTTTCATATACTAAAATTAAAACTATAACATATCATAATATATTTCATTATATGCCGCCACCAACTCTATCACCACCCCTTGCTCGACATAATCATATATATCTATAATTATTTATAATTTAACATAAATATTGAAAAAAAAACAACAAAACAAAATGAGTTTGTTTTCAAAAGATAAATTTTGTTTGTATATCAATACGGATGTTTATGTAAAGATGATCAAAGTATGACTTTTGTTATATTACGATTCTTTTGTCAATTATAAACAAGGCCTAAAAATATAAAACGAAAAATGTTTGGTTTTATTTATAATACCGTGTATTTGACTCCAATATAAAAATCTAGAACCGTTTTTGTCTGTTGATCGTTATAATTTCCGACGCAAACAATTAATTCGTTCTTTCTTTGTTAATAATTGATCTTTATTAAAAAATACCCTACTAATTAATATAACTTAGACAAGATCAGTGACAACTTTTTTTCTTGCAAAGTTTAAAACAGTATCAAATGAACCTTCCATCTAAGAGAACCATAAAAAATATCATAAAAAAACAATTTTTTCCATGTAGATTACTAAAAAAAAGTTTGTTTTGTTCCTTATTTTCAGTTGACTCTATAAAACGGTATATATATACACTTTTGGTGGTATGTTTATTAACAAAATATGCAATTTGTACATATGCATATTCATGTGATGATAGGCAGATAGGTAATGATTATTCTAATCAAATTTAATCTCAGACTTTGATTATCGTAATTGTAAGGTCAGATTTGGCTGTTAAGATCTTACAATAAAACTAGATTGTATATTTTTATTTTTCCTTGTCTTGTTCGTTATTAGTTATATTTTTTTATTTATTAAAGTGTGAATGTGATTGTAGGACAATGTTGACACCCTTATCCTTTGTGCTACAAAATATATGGGTTTTAGTTATGGAAAACCTGTTGCAGCGTTTACCATATATAGATGTCTTCTTCATTGGAAATATCTTGAAGCTGGAAGAACAAGTGTAGTTGATAGACTTTTGAAGTTCATTGATTCAGCAATTAAGGTACTTCATCAAGTAATTCTTAGAAAATTCTTAAGTATCATTTATTTATTTATCTATTACATTAATTAAGTTGCGTCTGTTTTTGTGGGTGCCTTTGTTTTTCCTTGGTGTTATGAAAGTCGAACTATATTTAAACTTAGATCTCTTCCACTAACTCATCTATCTTATATGTCCACTCTGTATTTCTTTCTTAGATTTGCAACTCTCAAAGATACTATTATAATTGAATTTGTTCAAGGGATTATTTCTATTGTAAATTTGTAATGATGACTCACCGTATTGTAGGATCAAGATAATTACGATGTGATGGCGTATTGGTTATCAAATGCATCAAATTTGTTATTCTTAATCCACAGTGGTATAAAGCCTGATGTTTCGAGTATAGATTCCAACAGAGGAGGTCAAACATCGCTATTTCGAAGAATTACAAGGGTATCGACTATTAATCTTAAGTACTTGTTTCAACTTTTCCATATATATATATATATATATATATATATATATATATATATATATATATATATATATATATATATATATAGGTTCAGGTTCATTTGAGACCATTCTAATTTTGTGAAACCGTGAGACCAAATCTAAAAATAATTTTAAAATGCAAAATAAATGGAAAAATCCAAAAAAAAAAAAATTTAAACATTATTTTCGGAACGTGAATTAACTAAAAAAAATATAAAAAAAATAAAAAAAATTCCGTTTTTTTTTTTGAAAAATACGGGAAATATTCTAAATAGAATATTACACTGGCATATTCTAAAAAATAATTTTAAAATGCAAAATAAATGGAAAATCTAAAAATTCTTTTTTTAAATATTATTTTCGGAACTTGAATTAACTAAAAAAAATAAAAAGAAAAAATAAAAAAAATTCTATTTTTTTTTTAAAATACGTGAAATATTCTAAATAAAATATTACACTGTACATATTCTAAAAATAATTTTAAAATGCAAAATAAATGGAAAAATCAAAAAATTCTTTTTTTAAATATTATTTTCGGAACATTAATTAACTAAAAAAAAAAAATGCGTCTCACGGTCTCACAAAATATAGGTGGTCTCAAATGAACCTAACCCTATATATATATATATATATATATATATATATATATATATATATATATATATATATATATATATATATATATATATATATATATATATATATATATATATATATATATATATATATATAGTTTCAGGTTCATTTGAGACCATACTAATTTTGTGAGACCGTAAGACCAAATCTAAAAATAATTTTAAAATGCAAAATTAAAGGAAAAATCATAAAATTCTTTTTTTTTTTTTAATTATTATTTTATGAACTTTATTTAACTAGAAAACTAAAAATAAAATAACAATATTACCGTTTTTTTTAAATACGTGAAATATTCTAAATAGAATATTACACTATACATATTTTAATATGATCTTTAGAATATTTAGAATATTCTACTAGATTTTCCAGATATGTAGAATATTATAAATATTCTACTAAAATATGTAAAAAATGTATTTTTTTAGTATTTTTTTTTATTTTTTTTTTGGTAATTTTTTTATCTTTTTATTTTTGAAAATATATATTCCGAAAATACTATTGGAAAAAAAAATTTAAAAATTTTCAATTATTTTGCATTTTAAAAATGTTTTTGTTTTATTTAATAAATGAATAGCTAGTATTACGTCTTATGATCTCACAAAATTAGTTTGTCTCACATGAACGTAATATATATATATATATATATATATATATATATATATATATATATATATATATATATATATATATATATTTGAAGAATTAGGATATTATTTTTAACCACTCATTTATTTTTGTCACAAAACCTCTCATTGTACTTATGGAAATGGGAAAGAAATACACATGTGTTTTCCAACAAAATATGTTTCCTTAATTATACTAATCATTACCTTAATATATATATATATATATATATATATATATATATATATATATATATATATATATATATATATATATATAAACATAGTTTTTTTTTCGTTTTTTTAATTTTTAAGGAGATATTTTTATCAAAAAATAATTTTAATTATATCAAAATTCTTAATTTTTTATTCTTTATAAATAAGCATCCATATTAATACAGTTTTAAGGAAAAAAAATTATAGTTTCGGCTATAATTATTCATAATGTATCTGATTTTTACTACAGTATAGGGGTGAAGCCAGGATTTTAGGATAAAGGGAGCTTGTATATATTAAAATTAAATCTTTATACTAGGACTAGAAGTATACTTTGATTTTTGAAGTTGGCATGGTCCAAATTCAATATATAATCATCTACTAGGTTACAACCCGTGGAAACCACGTATAAAAAAAAAATATTGATAATTAAAAATAGTTATGAAACATCATATATTTATAAAATTTTATTAAATTAATAAGATATAAATTTGATTTAGACATTTCTATTTCTATCCTAATGACTACCAAAACTTCCATCTAATTTTGATCACATAATATTAATAGTAATTCTAATGAAACAAAATGTTATTGTACCATTGATTTGCTTTAATAGTCTACCTACTAATATGGTTGTAAGACTGTTAGATATACAAGAAATTATGTGTACATGAATAAAGAATGTGAAGTGTAGAAAATAACTTCTTGCTGGCAAAACAAAAAAAATGACCCATTGACTTCCATGAAGCTTTATGTCATCTAACTCCAAATCGCATCTCACCAAGTAGTAATTTCTTTCGGTAAAATAATAACCTACTCTTCCCCATAAACGTAAGCAACTTCATCTTCTAAGCAAAATCCAAAAATTTATGATTACATCAAACTCTAATCCACTTTAGAAATATACCATCATTTTTGTGTCACCAAAAAGAATTCCAATCTTTAAAAATATGTAACACAGACTACAATTTTCAACCCTTTCGAATTACCAATATTTACAACAATAATCTCCCAGGTGGAATTATGAAAGAAAATATAGTTTTCTAAGAAAAAACTACAAAAAACCATAAAAAGTAAAACTTTTTAATGGAAAAGAATCAAACCAAAAATGATACATTCTACAGAAATAATATCCAAAAACAATCCTTCTTAAGACCCATCAATTTAACACAACATAATTCAAATAAAGGAAACTACTATATACAGTCGCCTCAATAGACAACACAAATTATGGAAAAGTGACAGATGGAATGGGTTGTTTGGCTTTGCTTTTAAAATGACTTTTGGGACTTTTGGCTTTTCCAAAAAGTCAAAAGTTATAAAGTTGTTTGGTAATTGGAGAAGATCTTTTAAATTAGCTTTTATAGAAGAAGAAAAATGGAGCTTTTAAAAAGTCACGAATCTGTGACTTAGACTTTTGGTAACTTTTGCCTTTTTTCCCTTTCTCCCCTCAAAAGTTTAAACAAACACATTTTAAAACTTTCTTTTGGAAAAAGATATGAATCAAAAATTCCTTTTTAAAAAGGACTTTTTGGTCTGAAAAGCTATCCCAAACACCCCCTTAGTCCATTACCGGATAGCATTTGCAATTAAAAAAGACAATACCTACATTCAAATAATTAGAGATAACTTTTGATCTAAATGAGATTGGTTAAATTTATGGTTAGCAAGATTTTATTTTTGCTTCCATGATCAATAACCTGTAATGATGTAAAAGAAGCATCAGTAGACCATACGTGTTCCAACAAAAATCAAAGTCAATATCAGATGTTACACCTCTGATTTATCCTGCAAAACTTCACCAGTTACATAATTCAAGAGAAAATATAAGGGGTTTATTTGACCATGTCTCTACAAACCTAAAATCCCAAATAAAAAAAATAAACAAATTTAGATCAAAATATGTATATTTAAAAGAGGATGGCAACCATATAATCACTTAGTGAGCCCTACCCAGAAACGAGGAACTATAGAGATGGCAATCAATAGGTAACTTAGAATAAAATTCTTCAAACCTTCCATAGTTTTTTCCAGGTGGATAGAGGAGAAGAAATCTGAAAATAGAGATCAAGTTAGGGAGAAGTGATGTCTTATAGGAGAGTGGGGAATTTGGGATATCAAAACCCATGTTTGTATCACCTATTCCTCCATTCGCAATACATATTGATTTCCTGATAAGGATCCATATAAACAATACAGTGTATGAGAAATCCAAAAAATAAATAAATAAATAAATAAATAAATCCTTAAATAAAACCATAAATCTATTATATAGATCCAGGCAGAATTTTGATCGAGGTATAATCTGATAGCTTAATTCAAATTCTAGGCCAGTTTTAGTAGTAAGGGCATTTTGTGAATTTTTGGGAAGTCTTTCCTATTTAAGGTTGTAAAATTGTTTTAGAATTTTTTATGTCTAGTATAAGTAGAGTTAATGTTTTAGTATAAAGTTTATTCCCGTTTTTATTAATAAAGCTTAGCAACAAAGAAATTTTCCAAAAAACTAATTCATCTCATCTCATGTTCTTCTTGTTCTTCCATTCTCCTTTATGTTATGTGTTTTATTCTTCTTTTGTACCTCGGTGATCAAGGTAATTTCTAGATTGTTTACTTACATAATCAATCATCTATGACATTAAATAGAAGAAAAAAATTTGAAACATAGACATTAAAACGAAGCTAACAAAAAAAATAAGAAAAATCATAAACAAAATACAGCCAAAATTAAAGAAACCTGATCCATACCAAATATTCATTGCCTTCATCCAATCATGAATGGCCTTCACTCTGATCAAAAACTCAATTCATGACCCTATTTAGGCCTTGTTTAGGGTTTTGAGTTGTGGGTATCATGAGAACGACCAAGAGAGAAAGTAGTCTACGGTGTGATTTCAAAAGAGATGAAGGGAAATTTGAAATTCAAAACGTTAAATCTCACTATTTAAGGATTAGTAGCATGCAACGTAGAGACCAAACGGTATATGAGCTTTGTTGGTGAATTACTGTTGATTTCTCGTTAATTTTATGAGATTTGATGTGATGATGGAGGAGGCGATAAGGTGGATGTGAAGAGGGATTGTCGAGATATTTGGGGAGTGCATTCAATTTCGATCACAAACACAGAAGGATTCCAAATTTGAAATGGTATTTTTTAAATTTAAAAAAATATAATATGACCCGAAAATAAAATAAAACACACCGTGGAAATTTAGGTAAAAGAATAAATGGTAAAAGAGTAATTTAACTTTGATGAAAAATGAGTTGAGGAGATGCCACCTGCCAGAAAAAGGATTCTTTAATTAAGGAGAGGATTATCATCACTTCGGTGACTTGGATAGCTTTAGATCGAAAGTGGTACTCGGTGATCACGAATCAAAGAATTTAAGTTTCCCTCTCTTAAATTTGAAATATCATTTTTTTTTTCAAATTCAACATTAATTGACTCTTTTATATTACTATTCCTTTCAGATTGTGGGTACTTAT